GTTATTACGACTAATTGTTCTACTAGACAACTTGATACGTATAGAAAAAAATGTCAATAAGAACAAATGAAAGAAAAAAACATCACATTTAGACATAGAATTAGATGAAATGCAACATACAGTAGGTTAAATGTAACTTTAAAACAAATATAAATTTATTTTTTCAAATAATGCCAATTAGAGAAACAGTCCCACCAGAAGAAGCTGATTGGGCCCACGTAGACCTATATAAAATTTATGATCAATCAACAAAATTATTTTCATTACACACTTACCTACTTCTATAGTTGTTTTACATCAATTAGCAAATATAATGATGGTATTCACAAATTATTGTTCAAATGAAATATATTACGTCATTATTGTTGCAATGAAAGCCAAAATTTGATAAATATTTTTATCAATTGGCTCACATTTTTTATTTAGCTATCGTAATGGATTCTAGGTGTAAACAACTTGGTTTACAAATTTTTTTTACAACTTATTTTCGATAACGAAGATCAAATTACTTCTATCATTGCACTAAAACGAATGTTTGAAGAATATAAGAGTGTTATAATTGTAAATAAATCACCTGCATACACTACAACAAGCATGTCTCGCAGTGCAAGCGTAGATATTTTGTCACAAATAAAAAACAAACAAATTTTCCAAAATGCTAGCACGTCTAATTCTGAGTTACAACGGTTTTTGGATCAACATTGCATTGATGAAACCAAATTAAAATATTTTGAGATTTTAGATTGGTAGAAAAAACATGAACATGTATGGTATGTGTTTGTATCAATGGCCCGTGATATACTAACTGCTCATGTTTCCACAGTGGCTTTTGAAACAACTTTTAGTGTAAGTTGATAACTGTTGAGTAATTATTGTTGCAAATTTACTCCCAAAATGGTTGAAGCACCGATAATAACGAGAGGTTCTTTGTATGTAGCCCGGAGAACACAAGATGTTGATGAGAAAGTAAGGATTCAAACTAATTTGAATGCTATCACAATAAATGACCTGGATGAATTGTCCTACTTGGATGATTGATGAATAAGTTATTAAATTTTCTTTTCAGTCATACAATTTTTGTATTTTTATTTTTACTTTGAAGTGTAGTATAATGCAAATGATTAATAGGTTTGTAAGTGCTAACCGAATGTTCATAACCTATAATGATACAATTACTCTGTCATCTACTTGATGAGATAATATAAATTTATAATATTTCATTTCACTTATGTGGGGAAGTGGATTTTAGGAAATACTCCTTGGGTCCAGGTAGGCCTCTAAGATCCCTTTGATGTCGCCTGAAATTAATATACAACTCCCGTCAATGGCACCAGAGTTCTTACTTCGATAGATTAATCAGTTGTACCTTTGGGTCCTTGGTATTCTACCTTACTTGAGGTCTAAGTTACTATTTTTTTCATCCCCTCACTCTCAAGCTCCTCCCCTCCGTTTATAATCTTCTTCTTGTCAATATGTTTTTATGGGATGGGCCAGCGGTTTGGTCCAATAAGGCCTTTCCGCCTCTCCTGAACTACTCGGCTTTGGCTTGTGGCATGAGTGTTCGGTCTCATGGGCCTCTATGGTTATTCGGCAACTTATCCATGGCCCATTGGGCTTTGACCTTGTTATCCTAGATAGGCAACCCAAGAGGAGGGTGAATTGGGTTATTACAAATTTTATAATATTAAAAACACAATATTCAAAATTTTAACAAATAAAAAACAGAACAATAATTATTAATATAAAAGTAAGAAAGATAAGGAGAGAAAAATCAAATATTGAGATTTATAGTGGTTCGGCACGCCGGGCCTACGTCCACTCCCTAAGAAACCTCCATGAGAATTTCTTTACGATCAAAATGAATCAATACATCACCAAGGCTTCACCAAGCTTATAGATTTTTCACAGGTCTTATTTTTATTTATTGAACCTCACTCAACAATAAATGTCTTACTCTTACAAAAATCTCTTACAAAATAATGACTAAAAATAAGAGGTACTTTAACCCTCTTTTACAATACTTTGCTTACAAAGAGTAGATATGAAAGTGTAAGAACGAAAACTATACTTAGATCTGAAAGTGAAAGAGCAGAATACAATACACTCAAAATTTTGGAGCACACAGAATTTTTCTCTTCAAGTTCTTTATTTTTCTCCACACACAACACTTCTATTTATATCCAAAAATATACCCATTGGAGATAGGACTCTCCTTGCTGACATCATAGATTACACAGGCACACTCCTTGACAAACAGAAGGCATCTATTTTGGTTTTCAATTAATACACCATGTGGCACCTTTTTCTTTGTCAATCTTTACATATTTTTTTTTAGGTCTGGCTTTGGTCCGGTCCACCATCGGACTAGACCGTGCTGTTGGGCCCGTGGGGGCCCACCACGGGTCCCGTTTTGAAAATCTAAACCGTTCAATGTGTAGAACTCTTCGAGTACTATATGCCTGTAAAAAATTACGTTGCTTGGATATCGATAGTTATATGATCAAATCCGTTTTTTGTCAACCGTTAATTTATTTACCGTCCATTTTTTTTATACAAAACTGATTTGAGCACATAACTATCGATATCCGATCAACATGATTTTTTATAAACATATAGTTCTCAAAAAGTTCTACACATTGACGGTTCAAATTTTCAAAACGGGACCCGTGGTGGGCCCCTATGGGCCCAACAACACGGTCCAGTCTGATGGTGGACTAGACCAAAGCCAGACCCTTTTTTTTTCTTTGTTCAACATTTCTTTGACAAACTTTGGCGGGCAAGTTACCAAGATGTTCAATTCACACTTTTGAATATAATATCATATATATATATACAAGGATTTTGTCAAACTTTTGCACTAACTTTTTCTATTAATTATAGTAATATATATATATATATATATATATGTCAAGGATGCAAAACCCACCATCAAGCTCATCTTTTTCTTTTTACAATAATATATATATATATATATATATATTTAAAAAAAATATGATTTGCTTTCAAACATCACTTGAGTGTGTTTCACTTTACATTTGAGTATGTTTCACTTTGCATGTAAAATATAAATCAAATATTTTTGCTATATACCAACCATTCCATGTGAGTATATTAAATTTGTCAAAAGATGACAATTCATTAATATCACAATTGTCAAAATACTACAATTAATCAATATTAATTTCGTCAAAAAGTAAATAGTGACCAGCCAAGCTTTTCAAAATTGTGAATAGTAATATTTTCAAAATATTTCCATTTAAATAATATTTATAACAAATATATCATACAATATATATTTTAAATAGATAATATTGTGTCAAATAATATAAAATATGTATATTAAAAAATTCAAAATTTTTAAATAATATTTTAGATATCATTAAAATTAAACAATATGATTAACAGATCCTATACGGCCCAATAGACATTGAGTTTCATATATTTGGCTCCCACAATTTATAAAAATTATTATTTTATATTCAACCATTTTTGTGTCTGTCGTATATTTTAATAAATAAATAAATAAATAACGGGGCCAGCTGATATTCCTAGTCAGCACGGATATCTCTCCGTCGTGCAATAATTCAGACCTTTGTATTTCAACCACAATTTGAATGGTTGTAACGTCTTTCCTTGTTTTGCGGGGTAAAAATGATATGAATTATAAAAATTGCCTTTGAATTCTATCAAGATGGGCATGTCATTATGAGAGAGGTGTCCGGGTTTGGTGGATAAATTTTTGGGCCGATCTCTGTGATATGAATTGTTCAATTTTTAGTAATCATTGAATAGAATATTCTTACAAAAAATTAAGATAATCGGATATCAATAAGTATATGTTTGAAACATATTTGTATTATAAAAAATAGATGGTTAGTCTTGAAATTATAATTATTGTCTATTTTTAAAAAATAAATGTATTTCAAACATATAGCTACTGATATCTGATTATTTAATTTTTTTGCATAAATATTCTATTCAATGAGTTCTAAAAAGTTAACGGTTCGAATCACCGAGATTAGCCTCAAAATGGGTCCACCAAATCCAAACGCTCTCTCAAGTTGAATGGCCAACCTGAGATAATCCAATCCCATAAAAATTTATCTAGAATCTCTTCTCAAAAGTGAGTATATAGTGTAGATTTAAAATTAATAAAATGTGAGTCGCACACATAATAAATATAGATGATTGATTCTTTGTTTAAAATAATTTTTTTGAATATGTAATATTAGTGTTTTGGGGGGCATCGTAGAAGTTGAGTAGTAATCTAGGGTAACAGAGATAAAATACCAACTTGCCAAGTCCATTTTGGATTGCTAATCATGCTTGACTTGATAAGTAAATTTAAATTATTTATAAAATTATTATTCATATTAAATGATAATTGTGGAAATAGCATAACGTACATCATTTTAAAAAATTAAACTTCTTGAAAAATTTATAAAAAAAAATAGGGGAAATTATCGAAAAATTCCATAACTGAATCAGTAGCACCATTTAGTCCCACCAATTTACATTTGCACTGGTAGATCCCATCAATGATAACGTGATAATCGCTAGGTCCTGGTTTGATTTGAATTATATTATTGTGGACGTTTGTACCCTTTCCTTTATATAGGTCACACAATTTCAGGAATCACATCCTTACCTCATCCCGTTACACTCACACACACACTGATAACCATACCCACACACAAACCATAATCAATTTTACAGATCGACGTGAACAATGTTTGGAAGGAATCCGGCAGATCGACTTCGCCGACGTGGTACACCGACTTGACGATGTTCACGCTAGAAGTAACAATGGTGGACTGTCACAACAATGGCGGACTGTGTGAATCTGTGAGATTTGGTGTTTTTTATTTGGGTGACGTAGGTGACGATTACGATTGTGTTGTTGGTAGGTGGGCAGGAATCCGGCAGATCGACTTTGCCGACGTGGTACACCGACTTGACGATGTTCACGCTAGAAGCAACAATGGCAGACTGTCACAACAATGGCGGACTGTGTGAATCCGCTGGAACAGGCGATCGGATTCTACGTGAACCTAACAAATGGTAAGGTTCACGTCTACGACCCCTCTCATCATGTGCCGTCGATTCCGCTGCAGTTGATGGATCAGCATCAAAAGCATGAGAACGAGATTGAGGAGGGAGAGAGTGGGGATGATGAGGAGTTTCGAATTCTGGGGCATTCAATGTTTCTGAAGAGGAGGAGGGATGGAGAATCGGTGGCATCGTGTTCTTCGTCTTCGAAACGGGTTTCGATCGAGCGGTTCGAGCCTTACGGTCTCGAATCGCGACGAAGTGCAGTGCGGGCTTGGGGGAATCAACTGCTCTGCGTTGCAGACCCGGATGTTTTTTGGATTATAGAGAAGGAAAAGCGGAGGCAATTCAAAGGGATTGAATTGATAGCTTCAGAGAATTTTGTGTGTCGGGCTGTGATAGAAGCTCTGAGGAGCTATTTGACGAACAAGTACTCGGAAGGAATGCTTGGGGACAAAAAAAAAAAAAAAAAAAATTGTGTCAAATTACTTGTGTTCACGTCACAACCCACGTCTCATGTTGTGAGTGTTACACATTTACTAAATTAAAAAAGTATTAGTGTGCTTTTTTGATCAACGTGACACACAAACACCCATTCACCTTCTCCCATACAAACCCACACCAAATGTCAATCAATAATACTAGCAGTGGCAAAATTGTCAACAAACAAATTAAGGGACCATCCAGTCACCAAGAAAACATTCAGGACCTTATGGATTACAAGTCCACAAAATAAGATTTACTGGTCAATTCTCCAAAAAAATAAAACCTAATTCTTTATAATGAAATTTGATAGGATTCAACAGTAATCTTGGAAGTAAAATAAGACTTATTGATAATTTTTTCAAAAACACTAATTGATTATGCTTTTGGCAAGGATTGTCTACGATTACACAGTTGATAGTGTACATAAATGACCAACTAATAATAATAAGTTTCTTTTAAAAAAAAATAGATAAATTTTTATTTTTTTTTAAGACCTGAACAATGAGAATCTGCCTTCCAAAATCGGGAGCTTAAAGCGATGGCTTTGTCTACCTACCTTGCACATGATATTTGATAAATTATTTCTTAGCTAATGAAAAAGAAAATTTAAAAAAAATAAAATAAAAGTTGTAGCACCAATAATAGAGAAAAGACAATAGAGGGTCACATTTTTTCTTCATGCAATAATGTAGTCCTTTTGGGGACTTCATGGAAGATGAGTAGTAATCTACTACAAGAGATGACTATTACCAACTTTTCCAAGTCTAAATACCAACTCGACAAGTCCATTTTGAGTAGTAATCATGCATGAGTTGGTGAGTACCTAAGAGTCTTGTTTAAGGGACCCCTCATGCATTCAGGTGACAATAATATTGAAAGAACAACTCACAGTCTCATGGGTCAATTTAGGTCAGTGATTTGATTTGTAATCATCGTCCTTTATTACTTTGTAGATTACACTTCTGTTTATACATAAACTAGTCACATTATTGAATATAACATTTTCACGTGGAGGTGAGATCTAAAATATATATATATATATATATAAGATAATTGTATTTGATTCTATAATTAATTTAAGATAAATTATAAATATATTTTTTGAAATTTACTTAAAATATGAATCATGTCCTCTAATTTTGAAAATTATATCACGCTCTTTCAATTCTAATCATATAACAATTGATCAATTTTATTAATAAATTATCAAGTCAATTAATAATTTTTAATAATATCATAAATATATTTCAATTAATAATTTTAGCAATTTTATTATTGTATAGGAGAGTAATTAAGAATTTTATTTTTTCTGTTAATTTAGTAAAATATAAAATTCTGATAATAAGATATTTAAAAGTTATAAAAGTAATTTGTATTTTAAATAAATTTTAGAAATGTATTTATAATTTATACATTTATTTATGTAACTGTAGACTTTTTAAGAATGAATCATATGTGGCCCATGGCAAGTTGACAACTGGATTGGGTTAAGTTTAATAATCTTTTACATCAAACTCACTAGCTTGACTGGTTGTTGGGTTTATTTGGGAAATTCCATGACACACATTTTTGGAGGTAGTACTAGTTTAATAATCATTTATGTATTCTTAGTTATAATTTATGATTTGTGATGTTGGTTATGATCCAGGAGTTTTTTTTATTATATTTTATAATATTGAGTCATATCATTTGTGTTAATCAAACTCACAGATGATATAACTTATATAAACATTGCTATGCAAGTCCAAAAATTAGATCTTATTTCAAGTCTAATGATGTGGTAATCAATTAGAATATCTAATGTAACACTATCTCTCATATCTTCTCAATTATCAATCAGCCATATTACTTGCACATCATTAAGTTTAAAAAATAAATCTAGAAAATGAAGTTGTATATTATTTTTCAATTTACATATGATATGTACTTTTTTTAAGAATATGTACCGTAGCATTATCCGCATTATTTAATGTGTGAACTTTTTGGCACATTACACATGAGTCAAGAAAGTGCTATAATGGAGTCTGGATTCTCGGTGGCACTTTCTTGCCGTACCTTCCTGTCGCCCTCCAAAACAACATCGTTTTGGAGTTTTTTTTTTTTTTTTTTTTCTCTTTCTCTTTCTCTTTCTTTCTTTCTTTCTTATCATCAACACTCAACACTGGGCACTGTGTTGCTGACACATCAACACTGTATGTTGCTCTCTCTCTCTCTCTCTCTCTTCCTTGTATGTCTTCCTCTTCTTTTCTCTGTATTTCTCAAATCATCATACCCACAGAAAGAAAGAAGAAAAAAAAATAAAAGATAAAACTAAATGTTGAAGCTTGATTATCTCATCCAACTCGGTTTATTCTCTTCCTTTTCTTTTTCTTAAAAATTTTTTTTTTTTTGATTTATCAATTTGTGGGTTTGTAGTGATTTTTGGTTGAGTAGTTTGTGAATGTTAGATGCTTGTTGAAACACCTCAATGAAACGTTAATGTAAAATACATGTTCGAAGTGTGAACCATGGCTCTAATGTGCTTTTGGCAAAGCTGTTAATCAGCTCCATCTCCTCCTACGAATCAAACTCTACAGCCGCCTATCCTCGCCTTGCCTCCATCGCCTCTCCGTTCGTCACCTCCGTCCGCTTGCCTTGCCTCGCCTCTCTCTCTTGTCCAAATCTGCCTCTCTGTCTCAGAGGCGAGGGTTCAAAAATGAGAAGGGAAAAGCAAAATAAGAAAGAAAAAGAAGGGGAAAAAAAAAAAAAAACCTCCAAAATGACGTCATTTTGGAGGGCGACAAGGAGGCACGGCAGGAAAGTGTCACCGAGTATCCAGACTCATTATACATCTCCTTTCCTTTTGGCTTTCCCAATGTGAAAAGACAAAGCCACCATTGTTTGAACTTGGTGAGATTGAAATTTAATTTATTTTTCTTGAATTGATCAATTAGAAAAACATACATTCAAGTTGAAAAATTAGATGGTAGTGCTGGACTAAACACATGTGTTGTCTCAATATTGATGATTGTTGATTTAAATGGTGGGACATCACTTTTATGCTGATTTATGAAAGATAATTGGACACGTCATAAAATAAATGGTGGATAATATTATTAAAAAATCATCAAATAACTTGTCAGGCATTTGTAGGTTAAAATAAGATTATTCGCATAAATATCTCTTAAACTATTGCAAGTGTCAATTTAACCCCATAAACTAAAAAAGGATATAATTAAGCATCTATAACTATCATATCCACCCCCTTTGTCCTTCATCATGATTAAATCATGAAATTCAAGATCACACACCATTCTTTTGTTTGCTCATTTAATGACCAAAGATTCGTTTAACAGTGGGTAAATTATACAGGTACCCCATAAACTAGTATAGAGTATCACTTCTCTAAACTATTATAAAATATCACTCTATTCCCATAACTATAAAAACGTACAATTTGACCTTTCAATTACTATATAAAAAATTGACATTTCTCCAAGATATATATAAAAAATAATAATAAATAAATAAATAAATTATGATAGGCTCATAAATAAATAAATAAATTATGATAGGCTCGATTTCAAAACTTTAAGTAATATATTTCCGGTAGTGCTACATGTACCAATTAGTATACTAACTAGTGTACTAACAGTAGTTATGACATTATTATTGACCACACTCATTAATTACATTTCAAATCTCAAAAACCTATTAAATTATGCCATATCATCAATTGGTATACTAGTTAGTATACAAATTGATACGTATAGCATTATTCATATAAAACTCAAGAAATATGATAGTATCACTTCTCTAAACTATTATAAAATATCACTCTATCCCCGTAACTATAAAAATGTACAATTCGACCTTTCAATTACTATATAAAAATATATATATAAAAAAAATTGACATTTCTCCAAGATATATATAAAAAATAATATTAAATAAATAAATAAATTATGATAGGCTCGATTTCAAAACTTTAAGTAATATATTTCCAGTAGTGCTATATGTACCAATTAGTATACTAACTAGTGTATCAACACTAGTTATAACATTATTATTGACCACACTCATTAATTACATTACAAATCTCAAAAACCTATTAAATTATGCCATATCATCAATTAGTATACTAGTTAGTATACAAATTGATACATATAGCATTATTCATATAAAACTCAAGAAATATGATTAAGTAACTAGTTATAAAATCATTTTTCATTCAATTATGCAATTTAGCCTCTTGAAAATGCGTATTCTAATGTACAACTAAAATAGATAAAATTTACTCAAGAGAATCAATTTATCAATAAGAGAATAACTCCTTTAAATAATCAGTATCACATTTGGGACGATTTTTTACCATCATGAAAAATTGTTTTTCTGATAGTGCATGTGTCATTGGACTACATATTTGAATGTCTAATATGATATAATTTTCATAATATTTGTAGCTTATCTTCTACTTATTAAAATATATATATACAAAGTAAAGGACACATAAGTAATAAGTCTAACTTCAAAATTTTTGGAGTAATAGCTCCAAGGTCTATTCATTTGGGCCAAAACGACAAAATAATGTAAAAAGATCATATTACCTCTACATATATGTCTATTTGTCTATTATCCATCTATCTATTTATGTGATCCTTGTATTTGTCCATGTAATTATCCACCTTATCTGACTATTTATTCATCTTACCACTCAAGCCACTTCCAACTGCAGAAGACCTTTTCAGATCCAGCAGTGGTCCAGCGATGATCTAAGGGCAATGGGGGTAAAAATGAAAAGAAAATAATAATAATAATAATTTGTCCTTCTCATTAAATAATTTCATTAATCATGTACTTATCTCCATAAAATATCAATCTTTGGACCAAATGCTATATCCTCCATAGAAATTGACCTATCACCAATTATCCAAAAAAATAAACGAATAGATAGAGTCCCAAGCATGGGGGAAAAGACAATAGAGCGTGGCCATGCACATTTTTTACAGAAGCACTGATGTAATCGTTTTTGGCATTTCAATGACAATTTGAATACAGTTGTTGTAAAGGTCTTCCTTTAATTTTGGGGCTTCACGGAAGATAAGTAATAATAGTTGCAAGAGATAAGTTCAATTTGGATTGCTAATCATGCATGCTTTCTGAGTACCAGTCTTAATCAGTACTACAACAACTTGGAAGAGCAGCTCATAGCCTCAGAGATGGGATCAACTTGAGGTGGTCCTCCTAGGATTGTGGTCTGTTACATGAATCATATGTGGCCAAGTTGATAAAAATATTCAGGGCAAATTACATATACCCCCTCGAGATTTGGCTAAATTACAGATATCCCCTGAGGTTTTAGAAATTACAAATTTCCCCGTGAATGCTATAGTTGCATAACAAATTAGGGGGTAATTTGTTATGAAATACAAACCTCAGGGGGTAAATTGTTACGAAAATACAAACCTCAAGGGCCGGAAATGTAATTTTTGAAACCTCAGGGGAGTTTCTGTAATTTAGCTAAACTTCGAGGGAGGTATATGTAATTTGCCCAAATATTTATTTGGGGTAGGTTTAATCTATACTTTCTTATATATAGGGAGTACTCTTACAAGTTTACTCACTGTCTAGACTGTTTGTTGGCCGTTATTTAATGAGAATGCTTATCTTCAATTCATTCATTGAGGTCTATCAGGAGTCTCGTTTTAATTTTTTGAATCATTCATTTGATAGGTTATTGTATATAGACCATTTACAAACAAATTTGGTCAATCCAATATATGTAATTGTACGGGGAAGAAATAATTCTCCTCGTATAATCCTGTTGACCAAGTCCACGCTCCTCCGTACGACGTCGCTTTATAACCTGAAAACACAAAAGTGAGCTAGCCGGCGGGTGCGTGCCGGAAACCTCTCCGATGCCTAAGTCAGTAAGCTTGACAAATAGACAAAGTTTTATGCTCTCAGAAAGAATTATGTTCAATTACCTCCTCCAAGGTGGTGCTTGTGAGCTTTTATAGGTTTCGAGTGGCACAATCCTAGTAGGACTTTTATTTCTCCATGCAGAGTCCTCCTAGGATTCATACTCCTAAGGATAATGCTTATCCTTTCACACCCTCCCCCACTGCTTAAACCAAGTGGGATGGTTTTCACCATGGCCGAACTACTATATGACCGAAATAGGCTTGGCTATGCAGAGCCACAGAGAAGGCCGAACTGTCCTAAGCTCGGTCTTTTCCTCCAACTCCTTATCTCGGCTTTCCCCTGTTCAACCATGGTGTGTTTAGATCAAACTTCCAAGTGGCAAGTTCTGACCGACCTAACCATAATATGTTACGACCGGACTAAATGCAAGGCCGGACTCACTTCAAACTGCTACCGGACCGGAGTTGCTTTGCACATTCTTGAACCGGAGTAACCACACCCCTCCTGGGCCGGAATAACTTCACTTCTTCTGGGCCGGAGTACCTATACCTCTACTGGGCCGAAATAACATTACGGCTTCTTACCGATTCCTTCACACTTTGGGCCGCAGGGCCCAACTCACAGCTCGGCCCAATTCTTTCCCAAAAATTACCCTCTCAGTAATTACATAATTTTATCATATTTATTTATGAAAAAATATATGACATGAATGATTAATTAATTTAAAATGAATATGATCAATACAATGATTTTTCTTTTGGAATATTTATGTGCATAAGTTTTGTGTACATACATTGTTCCCTTCTTTAAACCCCACAAAAATATATTGAATTTTTTTCCTTGAGCACCTAATTTATCTCAATTCTACTTTAATCTCTAACTTTTGAAACCCCAACTCGACTACCCGCAGAGGGTCAGAAATTAAAGTCAAAATTAAGTATGAACCTAAGTGCGGACGTCGCCCCTGTTAGGCGACTAGGAATAATTAAAAAAGCATGGGCCAAAGTCCAAGAGAAGTGGGTCAACAGTGGGCCGAAGCGGGTTCGACCCGCCAAGAGTTCGAGCGGACCCCATGAGGGGAAAATGTCTAAGTCAAGTTGCAGAGGCATTACTTGCAGCGGTCAAGTTGCTGAGGCACTTTGTCTCATCACCGCCATTCCAAGTATTGCTGGTACCGCTACTATTTAGAGTTGTTGAGGGAAAAAGAAAACCGGAGCAACTAAGTTGCAAAGGTAGCATTACAACGGTCAAGTTGCGGAGGTACTTTGCCAGCGCCGCCATCTCTAGTATTGTTGGCATCGCCACTTGAATTTGCCACAAGAAATAGCCACTGCAACAACTACAGCCCCCGCAACTAACTTGCGGAGGGAACAATCAGTCAAGGTGATAACAGCCTTTGGGAGAAGCTTCCCCTCCACAAGTAGAGAATGTTTGGCGCTGATAGATGGGCCCAAAGCCTATTGGTTGGAGCTGACAGTAGGTCCAGAAATACCAGTATACCGTGGTGACCCCGTGAAGATGGGAGTAAGGTAGCCCGAGTGTAGGGGACTCCCTTTCCACCTACCCAGGTCATAGACCTAACTTAGTCACATAGGTAGGACCAAGGAAGCCCCCTTGGGCTTGGTACTAAGGCACAACATGGTTGATAGTAGGCTTGGTTGTGGCTTTCACTTTGGAAAGTTAGGGAGTTTGTGATTAGGTGGCTAAAGGTGGAGGCTTTGCTGAGGTGAACACAAGCATAGCCAATAACAGACTATGAGGTCCTGAGAATGCATGTCTTGGCTAAATTGAATTGAGAAGGCAAGTGCAGTGGCAAACATTATCCCCGTAAATGCACTTGCTGAGGTTCAGGCCAAGGAGGCAAGTTGCAGCGGCAAACACTCCCACCGTAAGTGCACTTGTCGAGGCATTTGTGTTAAACAAATAGTACACAGTACATGCAGAGGAACACGTGACACCTTCAACCTGGTGGCCCAAGACAGAATATTCCATGTGATTCTTAGGGACACATGTCCATCCTTACTTTATTTGGCCACTTGGTATCGTTTGGTACCAAGGAAAAGCCTATAAATATGACCCATTTCTCAATGTCCAAGTAGAGGGTTTTTTGGGAATTTGGGGGAGATGCTACCCATTTTGTGCATTGTCATTCCTTTCTTCTTGAGCCACTTGCTTCACCCTCACCTAGCTGCTCATCCTCCAGTCATCCCACCATTATTGGACTATTGACATAGTTTTGCCTCTCTAATTATTCTCTTAATTACCGTTCAAGCTATCCCAACCTTGCGATTTTGCGAGCCGCACTACGGTGTCAAGAAAGGAGTTGGGCTAAGCTTCTAAACTTTGAGCCGACCTATCGGTATAGCGGTCGCCGAAAAGCAAGAGTAACCGATTTCCTTCTTGAGGAAGCACCAGAACCGGACCCAACCTTACCCGAAATACGACTTGTCCCATTAACTGCTGAAGAAGAGATGGCAAAGAAAAGCAGAGTTAGGGCCCTTCTGACCGCAACAACCAGGGCCGAAGTACCACCAACTATTGAGGCGCAGCCTGCCGTTGTGGCCCTCCCTTCTCAATGGCCTTCTTCATCTCGCCCTTCCAAACGCTCCCGATCTACATCGACCAAACAGCAACTTGTCGATGAGGTTGAATCCGTCTCCCAAAGTCCTCAACCTTCCCCCCAACCGGAGCAAACTGACCGAGCTGAATCTCCGAAGTGGGCTCCGCCGCTGACCTTCAATGACCAAGACATCAAAGCTACTGACTCGGTCGTGGCTGAAAAAGATCACCAATTGGCCTTTAACCTGGCCAAAAGTGTGTGCCTCCCCAAGGACATGGAGCACCACTTAAAGCAATTAAACACCGAAATGAAGTCAATCCGGTCCACATCGAAGTCCATGATCTTGGTAAGTAGCTCTGTCTGTTTTTTCTGCCTAAATTTTTCAACTTTTACTTCGGCTCAAAGGAATTCTTTGTTTTGCCAGGCCTTACAAAAGAACAATATTACTTACAAGAAAGTCCAAGAACTGAGAAAAACCACAAGGCAAGCAATGGCAGAAGCCGAGGCAAAGGCGGCCGAGCTAGAAGAAGCCGAAAAGAGAATGGCCGAGCTACAAGCGGAGAACGGCCGTCTTGCCGATCTGGTTAGTTCGGCGGAGGCAGAGAGGCAGAAAGCGGCCATTGCTATGAAGGACAAATATCTGCGGGAGTTGGTGAAGCTTGAGAAGAGAAAAGACACCGAAATAAGCGAACTAAAAAAGAGCGTGGAGGCGGCCGAAAAGGAGGGGTACAAGCGAGGTTACAAGGAGGCAGAAGACGCCTATGTCAAACAATGCGACGCCGCGAAGGAGCTGTTCTTTAAGTGCGGCTGGAGGGCGGCTGTGGAGAAGCTCGGTTATGATCAACAGACCGAGGTCTTCGACCCTCCAGCTTACTTTATACCGAAGTCCCTTGCGGAGTATGCAGACGCCTTGCAACAAGAGTTTCTGGAGGACTCAGACTCTGATGACTCCTCTGCTCCCGAAGACATTCCAGTTGTAAGTGCAGACCCGTCACTTCGGTTGGAGCCCATGGTGGATGACCTACCTATCGAACAGCCAAATGAAACCGTGGTTCCAACCGAAAGCATTCTGGTAACCGAGAGTGAACTTCCTCTTGCAACCGGTCTTCAAGTTGCTGGTGACGCGGCTTTTGACGCCGAAATTGAAGAACTTTTTTCCTGATTGTGTATTTTTTCTTTGTTGCTATTTGCCGTTGTAACCGAACTATGAACATCCTTTGTAATAGTTTCAATGAATGAAAAATTTTGCTTCAACTCTTGTTCCGGTTCTGATGGGTGTGCCTGTACTTTGTAATGCTTCAGTTACTCCAACTGTTATTTCGGTTTTAGATGGTTAAACTATACTTGCCAGCCAACCACTCCTTAGCCGATATGCTTACTTCGGCTGAGGAGTACAAAAGTTGGTTTATTCCAGCCAACCATTCTTTAGCCATACACTTACTTCGGCTGAAGAGTAACAAGAGTTGGTTTATTCCAGCCAACCTCTAAGTTAGTTTTTCCAGCTAACTTATAGAATGCTTGCAATAAACATAGTTTCTAAAACTAACTTTTACAAAGAATATTTTGTGCTAAAAAGAATTGCTCATTTTATTGAAGGAAAGAAAAAATTACATATGT